TCTGAATAGTAGAGGAACACAGATGTCTGTTAATAAAAGCTGACTATTAAGCTCAACAGCGCCTATTCAACTGTTCTCTTGATAGTGTGTGAGGCACAGTGTTTGTGTGGGTGTGCCGGTCCTCTCTGCAGTCTACAAGGAACAAAGAAATCATGTCTCTGTGAAAGGACGATGTTGTTTGTATTAACCACCATGACCTTTATCAATCTGCAAAATTAAAATGAACTATTCAAACCATTTGAAAAATGTTGCAGCTTGCGTTAAACGTTCTCACTTTCTGAGAGATGACGTAGTTTAAGTTTGCTCTGGACTCATTGTGGCTTCTCTTAGAGTAGGAAACCGCTTGTGTGCCGCTGCCTCTGGATGACAGAATGTGTCCATGTGGCTGAGAGGCTGCATATTGCACGGTGCACAGAAAGAAATCATCGGTCAGGTGGAGGTGAAGAATGAGTTTAATCAAGCGCTGCTCAGATTAATTGACATTTATTGCAGCCTAAATTGAATCAACATTGATATTAATTTTGCTCATGAAATTACACTCATAGGGTTCCATTTGTCAGTGTCCTGATCCTTTCCCTCCAGCTGGGTTCTGTAGCTTGAGACCAGGTCTAAAGTCACAATAGACCATTGATATTTAACATCCACAGGGCATATAGATGTGGTTTATTTCCACCCTGTACTTTGAAAACATCTTACAATGATGTATGTGTTAAAGTACTATTGCTGGCTGGTGTTTTTTTTTTTTTTAGAGGAAGTTATAATGTAGGTTTGGCTGATTTACATGACTATCAATGTGAGAGGGAAGTGGGTGCTTGCAGTGAGACACTTGCTAATCTATGAAAGGGGGGATGTAGATGATTTGGGTGCTAATATTATCCCTCGGTCTCTGCAGCTGCTGCTAAAGAATGAATAAGACGAGGCGGAGTGAGGAGAGATTATAACAGGAGGTTTCAGAAGCTGCTGTTAAAGGAAGGAAGGAAGGATGGAGCTGATTGAGATAGAGTACACGAGTTGGAAGTTTTGAGGGAGAGTTGAGAGACGATCCTCTTGAGAGAGTTCATCGTGTCCTGAGATGTTGAGATGTTGTGTCATCAAGAGCACTTCTCTTTCCACTATAGCTCTCTCTTTTTCATGTTTGACATTTCAGTTCTTTCTTCTCTCCCCACACGCCACTTCATCCTCTTCTCTTGAGTATCCTCGTGTTTCGTCGCCCTCTTTTCAAGCTTCCCTTTATCTCACCAAGGGGTGTTGATGGAGGACTGTAGACGAAGCTGGACGACATAACGGTGGATCTGGTGCAGTCGTATATATTGGCAGACACTGATTGAGGGTATCAGGTTTTGGCTTGGAAATAAGAAAGTTATTTTTTTCAACCAGAAAACCTTTGGAATAACTTGGACAGACAGTATTTTACAAAAAAACGTTTAAGATTTGGAACTTGAGTAAAGATTTCCTACTCTCAGAACTGAGAAGCGTGGGTCATTGAAGTGTGATTGAACATCATTTCTGCGGATCAAATCATTGCCAAGACAGTCACACTGAAATTCAGACACATAACTGTACAATACCTTATGTTCCTCCGGGCAGCCATGTCCTCTCAGCTCTCATTTACTTTCTGAGTCTCTTAGGCGTCTTTCAGTCTCATCTAAGCAGCCTTTAGTGGTCTCCCCCTTGTCTGGTAGATTTTGGATTTTCAATCAAATATTTTTTTCTTATACTCAATTTTCTTTTTTCATATCCAGTATTCACACATTTAGCTTGTGCTGTACATGATGTTTGACCCCTGACCTCTTAATTTTCGTCTGAGGGTTCCTGTCGGCTGAGTGACACCTAATCCAGCAGCCACTGTATTTGTTCTGTTTCCTATCAGGTCTGAATTATTCATCAGAGAGCGCTTTATCGTTCACAAAAGCTCTGGTGGACACCCAGATAGCTTTGAAGTGAATAACAGGATATGAAGAGAAAGGTGTTGCTTCAGAGAGGTGCTGATATAAAACCACAGCTGTGTTGGAAGAGGTTTATCTTCCAGAAATAAGTTTATTCAATGAGAAATGAACATCATATGCACAAGTATTATGCTCATATAGATCCACTCTGGATGAGTTCAAAGTGTAATAGTTCCTTTGTGCATTTTTCTCCCAAGGAGTGAATAGAAATCTGGTATAAAACAGGAATCCAACATGAGCTTATATGGAAGACCAACATCTTTCTTACTAAAGTGCTAAATCTCTTATTAAGTCTGAAAATGGCATATTTTGTTGTGGAACAAATTGTGGAATCAGAAGTCTCATTGCATATATGAATTAAAAAACATTATGAGCTCATGGTGAATGGAAAAAGTGTAAACATTCAAATCAAAACATGAATAATCAAAATTGGAATTGCCAGAAATGTTTTTGTTTTTGGTGTTCTCCATTGTTTTGAGAATAAAAAACTATACTGTAGCAAATGAAAATACATCAGAATCCAGTGGAAGTATAACATCCTAGTTCCAGAAAATCGGAAATATATCTCTTTGGATATGTCTGACCCAATCTGAAATTTGCCCTTAATCCTACTCTGGCATATAGACAAGGCAGCATGACAGCCACTTCAGATGTAAAATCTCATCTGCTCTTTTTTTGTGTCTACATATTCACGGGCTAGCCAGGGAGGTCTTCCCCTTCGTCCCCTCTCCCCCTGATCCCCACCCTCAATACCCCCAGGGTACAGTGTGACCCATACAGGCACCCAACCGGAAGGCCCGCCGCTGTCCTCCAATGTGCCACAGTATACATGACCTCATTAGCCAAGCCCCACCCTCTGAACTTGTTTCACAGTATAGTACGATATCCGTCTAACCTATTGACCCTAATAAGATAAAACCCCAACCCCCTAACTTCCTAAGCATGACCCACTTAACATATTCAAGCACATGTGGATGTGCACCAACATACACAAACACACCTCACAGTTAATTGGTTACATTTAAATCCCAAAATGAATCTCTTGAATTGTGCCATCCAACATACAGGTAATGGAGAAATATATTGGTAAAGGGGCAAAGATACCATCTTCTCCACTGTCAATAGACACAGTAGACAATTATATAATCAGCCACTAGATACAAGTATTATAAATTAAAGGGCTCAAATCACCTTTTCTCCGCTGGAAAACCCATCCAACTGCATTTCTGAGGTTTGTTAAAAAGCACATACAGAAAATTAAATTAGCTCTAATTGTATTTGAAGTCGACAAAGGACATTATAGGATTTAAATAATAAAACAGCAAGACAAAAATCAACACAGAAATAAACTGTGATTGAAATGGCGATGGAAAGGCAAGGGAAGAAAATAAGCTCAAATAGAATAATAAAATACCTAAAAACAGAAAAAGTAATGAAAAGCCAGATTAAACAGGAATGTTAAAAAAAATTCTTGAAAGCCACAAGTGTATCAATAGCCTTCGACAGACACAAAACTGGAGTAATGTGATCTCTTCTGGTTGGGGTTTAGATTCTAGCAGCGAGTTCCTGGGTAGACCACACAAGAGACCATGACCATGGTGCGATCTAGTTAACTCAATAGCATGCACTGTATGATCTCCGGCTGTCAAATATCAGGAGTGATATAAGATTGAGGCGAAGATTGAGGAATAGTGGGTACGTAGAAGTACAACCCTGTAACATAAAACATTTTTTGGTATACATGGAACATCATAGTTTGTTGATAATCTGAGTGTGATTTTGCTTTATGTCTATCGATACTATTGCTTTAGATTTTCAGAGGTAACCACAGTAGAAACATCCACATCCTGTATATCACAGGAGGATTTTCAGAACAATTGCTCTTGAGGGGGAAAAGAAAATTGGCTAGGCAGATGTGTGCCAAGTGGACAGACTTCACAGTCCTGGCACAGACTGCATGCACTCGGGGGCGCATGCATCAGTGTATATGTTCTTCAGTGCTATTTTTGCATGTGCGTGGGTTAGGATGATGTCGAGGGCGCTCCAAATTTCAGCTTGCCAAGTGTTCGCATCCTATGCAGTGTGAAAGTTAAGTATATAGTGCAGGCAGAGTTTTAAATGAGGTCTATGTCTATGAATATTTAATCAAAAGACAAACAGGAAGACATGGAGCCAAGTGAGCCGATGTAACTGAGCTGGTGGAGCTTTCATAGTTCATGCAGTGTATAACCTCGGGGAGATATCCAGTTCGTTGCCGCAGATTGTTTTGTTTTTGTCAGATATTCTTGGGTAAGAGAGCGTGAGGTGGTATGTGAAACAGAATTAGCTTCTGTCCACCCTTGGGGTGGGAAAGGATTCAGTGTCTTGGTAAAGAACACTTTCAGAAAGGTAGATGCTTGATGGCAATTGGGCTTGAACTCAGGTTTACCAACCGGCAATCTCAACCACTTGGCCAAATTTGTTCACCCCGACAATAGGACCGCAGCTCTACCATCTGTCTGTTAACCTAATTACTGCAGTACACAAACAGTCTAACACACTGATGTAGTCTATGAAATGACACTTTTGATGAAGGATGATAGCAAATATGTTAGGTAGGACATTACATCTTTCTCCTCACTACAAGATGTGGTTAATGTATTCAGTTGTTCTTTAACTATTTTTAAGACGTACCCGTACAACTGTATCATGTTTGCAGGAGCTATCTATGGTAACCATTAATTAAGCTAACTATTTGACTGCATATTCTTTACATTTAGCGAACTATTTGAACTATTTAGAAATTACTTTTCGATATCTATGTCAACCATCTTTTACTTTAAACTGTTTTTATTGCTTCCCCTTTACTTTTAGCCAATTCATTTCATTACTTTTACCTGCCTGACTTTGTATTTTGCTTGCTAACAAATTTTCACGAGCTCTCAATTGCAACTCATTCCAGCTGACTCAATAATTTTTTTTTACTCCACTGTATTTCCATGATGATTGCAGAAGCAGCCTGCTTTGGTATATGAATATTATCTGACACATCTTCTTTGTCATTGTGTCTTTTAGTTGGGATGAGAGCAGTTCCATCAGCAGCGGTTTGAGTGACGGCTCAGACAACCTGAGCTCTGAAGAGTTCAACACGAGTCCCACTCTCAACTCCCTTCCTACCACACCCATCGGCTCCCGCAGAAACTCAGCCATAGTGGTAAGTGACGTACACACACCAGCATTCACACAAGATACAGATGCATTAGCAGTGTGTGTAGGTTACAGTAGTGTTGATTAAGCTGTTAATCCAGTGAGCTATTGATGAGGGGCTGAATGATGTGTCATACACTGTCGGTGTAAGGAGGGCACACACATACACACGATAGGCAGCAGGACATGGGCATCAGAGACAAAGCCTGATTAAGTATTCTATGGACACCCATGATATTTAACACATCTGCAGCAATCCATGTTCACTACAACACACACACACACTGCATGCTGGCTAGCTGCATTGTTCAAAAATGCTCCCTTTTGGTCTTTTGTTGGGATTTTAAAGCTGCATTAAGAGCTGAACTGTTAATTGTAATTTGTATATTAAAGTATAATATAGAAAATGATCTAGTGTGGCCATAGATAGTTGTTGGTCACTAATCTACACTGATCCATACAAACCATAATACCTTGTTGTTGCTGCTTCAGAGGTTTGGGACTTTTATTATTGTTCAAGCTGTGATTGAGTCAAAAGTTGTTTTCTAGCCAGGACTTCACTCGCCTGATATAGCTGATGTGCTGACTGATGTAGTCATTTTTGACCCAGTTCAGTAGTATAATGAGTCTGACTGAAGCACTGGAGCACTGAAGCTGTGATCTTAATCATTTGCTGTGGGGATGGGAGGATTTGGGACTCAAGATCCTCAGTGCTTCTAAAATCCTCTCTGCAGCTCTGCTTGAGGTTCTTTAAGGTCCATCGTTAGCTGTATGGGTTCCAGACAATGTGTGCGTCTGATGTAGGTCACACCTCCGCAATGTGGTTCATGCGACGGATGTAGTGGGCTCTCAGAGAAAGAGAGACAACGAGAGACGGAGCGAGTTAGAGAGAGCGAGGGAATCAGCGTAACCATGGCAATCGAAGTGCGGGGATGCTGAGAGTGCGGTCCTTTGTCTCCTCCTGTACAGTGAAGGACAGGTCTAGAACAGCCATCTGCACACACACACACACACACACACACACACACAGCCATCTGTAGTCCTGCATCCGGGCCAGCGAGCCGCAAGAAACGGTGCGCCTCTCCCCACGCCTAGTAGCAGGAGTCATAGCAACCGTTACCCCCCACATGGCATCGTTACCATGGCAACCAACCATCACCTCATCATGCACCCTAATACACATGGCTCCCTCCTCTCTCGCCGTTCTCAACCAATGCTTTCTTTTTTTTTATCGGTTTCTCTTTGTCCTTGTGTCCTGAAGCCAATTCTTTGTCTCCATTTTCTCCTCTTTATCACTCCTCCGACTCCCTCCGACTCCTGTTGATCTTAATTCCCTCAAAGGCAGCTCTGACTTTACATGCGTTCCTCATCGCTCCCACATATTGCATAATATACTTAACAAGGATATGAGGGTGGAGGAGAGATGGGGGCACAAAGAAGACATGGTTAAGAGAGGGAGAGAATCAAAGCCAGAACGTGATGTGTGTGTAGGTGGTACAAAAACCCAGATTTCCTCATTTCCACATGGAGGTGGATCAAGGTAATACACCTTGTTTCCCAATACAGTTGTGTGTGTGTGTGTGTGTGTGTGTGTGTGTGTGTGTGTGTGTGTGT